GTCATAATGACTAATTAGTATTATTAATGTAAATATTACTAATTTATTGTCATTGTTGTTTAATATTATTGTTGAAGTAGAATGTTGTGAGTAAACAGAAGACGAACACATTAATAAATAACTCTTTTTAATTCATAGGCAATAGCATTCAAATCTCTTTTGGTAGTGTGGTGGTCCTGTTTTACTAAAACATACTATGTACGTTATTTCAATCATATATTGAAGAAAAAGGATTCAAAAACTTAGATTTACATTAAATAACTTGTGGTCGAGTTGACTTATGGCCGAGTTGATTTGTGGCCGAGTTGACTTGTGACCGAGTTGGCTGTAGCCGAACTTTTTTGTGGCCGAGTTGACTTGTGTGCCCGAGTTGACTTGTGGCCGAGCTGACTGTGGCCGAGTTGACTTGTGGCCGAGTTGACCTGCACCCAATTTACCCTCACCATAAAGTGGGAGCAACCCCAGAATACTTTCTGATGTCAATCCGTACTTCAGGACATAACCAAATGATGCTGTTGAAGGAATTTATCAAGCAGATTACAGAATTTGATGCCAACGATTTCCTTTCCGATATAATAATAATTTGTAATATTCAGTTGGGGGTCTAGGAATTACAAATAGAGGAACGCCAGGGAGGAATTTGGATTGGATTGGATTTAATTGGTGTAAACACCAAGGATAGCCCACGAAAGTCTAGAGAGAAGACTTATTTCCAGTGGGGTCCTTCTGGTGGTGAATGGGCAGTACACCGGGAGACAATCCCCTACTCTTTTCCGAAGAATGCACTACGGGAATTCTTCAACGTGCACACGGGACCAACGGCTTAAACGTCTCATCTGAAAGACGGTGCGCTAGTAACTTGTATTTCAGCCCTCTAGCTGAAACAATAAGGAGAGGCAGCGATGGGAATTGAACTGGGGACCTAGAGATCTCCACAGTTCAGCGCACACACAGCGGCTACCACCAGATTAGCCGCCTGAGCTAAGCTGCTCTCAATATGGAGGGTGCATATGGTGTGGCTGCTAAGAAAATTTATGACTATATGGCACCGCCAGATGGCCAAAATTGCACACTCTCAGACCTAAAATTTGAATATAATTTCCATTTTGTCTCCAGTTTTGAACAATGGCAGTTGGGCCTCCGTGAATCTAGCACCACTATTATTTGACCACAGGCAATTTAGTGTATGGCCTCTCTATCTCTACTTCATTCATTAATTTGAAGGACCTATAGGTGCTTTTAAGTAATGAAATCCCCAGTTCATCTTCACTCCATGTATTTTCTAAATTTTACTAATTTATTGTTATTACTACTGTATTATTATAGAAAGCAATATCATTAAGTCGAATTGTAAGTAATCTAAAAGCAATAATTAATATACGTGACAATAAACAACGAAAGTAGAGTAACAAAAGCTTCTAGTAAAACTTTTGCCAGAAATGTAAATACGATAACGGAGATCGTCAAAAAAAAAACAATATAAAAAAAAGATGATTAGCTGTAGCAACCATCCTCTTCCTAATGAAAAAGTGATAAACATGAAGAATTACACAATGTGATATCGTTTTAACACTATATCATAGAATGTTTATTATGGAATGCTGAAGAGTTGAAATGTTGAATCTCAACATGATGGCGTGTATTTCTTTGTGTTTAGCTTATTGAATTCTATGTTTGTGTTAACAGGAAAACACATTTGCCGTTTTTTTGGTTTTTTTTTAATGTGATGAGCATTAAAACTGAATGTGAAAACAATCAATCTCAATACCATAAGCGAAGACGATTTTGGCATTGCGTGAAACTGTAAACTCAATGTCTTTTGGTTATACAGTATCCCGCTCAAACATTCTGTAAACTATTTGGTAAACAAACCTTATATAAAATCACAACAGGTATGGAGTTTAAATATACTCTGTAATCTAAACATTGAAGGGAAAAAAAGCATATGTCCCCTATCGGTTTCGATTCCAAGATCTTTCAATTACAGTTCGGAAATTCTGCCAACTGAGCTATGAGGTGATTTCACCCTTTGGATTCCCCCATTAGGATACTTTTTTTTTCTCTCAAGGTTCTTCGAAGCCAAGAGGTACTGTATTGTATAAATTTTGCAACACCTCGAGAAAAAAAAAACGTGTCCAAATGGGAAAACCCAAGGTGGGGTGGGGGTGGTACAATGGTGCTATCGGCCCCCCCCCCCCTTAAAGTGTAAGAAAATAATTGTATTGTATTGTTAATATACCGCATTATTTTTATCATTGAAATACTATCCGGTAACAGGCCCGTAGCCAGGTTCTTCCAAGAGATGGGGTGGTTTCTGGGCGTGAGGTCCACAGTCGAAGCCCAGGTGGGGTCGGCGAAACCCCCAAAGCAAGAGGATTTTTGTGCTTTATGGGTCTAAATAATGCTCTAAAAGCAGATATGTTTGAAAATGTCTGTGTCTGGGTGGGTCTGCAGTGCATTAGTTGGGTTGGAGGACTTATTTGGGAAATCTAAAGAGGGGTTTTCGCCAGAAACCCCTCTTTAAATTTCCCAAATAAGGGGCTCAGTTGGTAGAGTATCCGAACGGTAATTTGAAGGTCCTGAGTCCGAATCCTGATGGGGACATCGTTTTTGTCAATAAAATGAAAATTTCATGCGATCAAATATTATTATTAATCTTAGCTACTGTGCATCCTAACAGTCAAATCTAATTAACATTCAGGAAACAACAGGGCAGAGAAATACGGTACCTTAAGAGAATAGCTCATTTAAATTAAAAGAATCAAATAAATAAATTAGCTTCCGATGAGAAACAGATCGAAAAGAAATAGAAGTTTTCACCGATTAACAGACATTTTACTAGAAAAATCTTCAACTTAATTACCAGCCAAGTGAAGGATCTACGCAAATGAATACAGGAAAGTTATTATTTAATTGTCCCGACGATTGACGGGGGAATTGTTTTCTTATTGAAATTTTTAATTTTAAGTTAATTAGTTAATTTACTTTTTTTTAACCATATGTATAAAGGATGACACTTCCACTGTATCCAAGAAGTTCGGCTGATATTTAGGGGCCCTCTTTAAATAAATTAAATAACGTGATGCTTTTGTCAGCCAAGTCTCTTTATGAAGCTTGGAATGGACCTTTCCGCTAAGCCCCGCCCCTTGGATATTGTTGCTAAGGTCCCACAAGACGACAGTGTTAAAACATACGCGAACACATGCGTTTGTGGGACAACACGTGTGTTTGTGAGACGCGCGCGTATCCCTAGCGCTGTTCTGATTAGTCAGTTGATAAGTTTGATTGACACTCCGGAAAGGTCTATTGGGTGTTGTTTGTAGTAATGAGAAAAAATCCTGCGGTCACATGAATTGCACCCAGGACCTGGGATTAGAATGCAAGTATCTTAAACGCTAATAAGCTATCTACTTAAATATACCACAGATCTGTGAACAAATTAAGCAATTCAAATGTGAAATTAAAATTTCACACTTTTACCTCATGACTCAGAATAGTAAATCTTCAATTATATAATTACTAAATAGATTCAAGGCATTTGATTGGTTAAAAGCCGGCAATAGTTCCAGCGATGCCCTCCAGTAGACAGTCATATGCATTCAAATGCCTATAATACGTATTCCAAGTATCGAAATGCAAGTCATCGTGTCGGGAATCCCGACGCGATGCCTACAATCTTCTATATAAAACAAATATTTACTGGGATTTTAATTGGGTCATAGTTCAAATTATTATGTCCATCAACCCAGTAAATATATGTAGGCCTACTATACCATGGAGAAATACTCTATAAGCCTAATGCCTGTTTACACATGAGGATAACGATCAACGATAAAAAGCTAAAAACAATTCTTCATATAGAAAATAAAAGAAATAAGAAAAGTTTTCACACTAGCACGGTTCGGTAACGATTCATCGTGTACACGGTAACAATAATTTGACAAATCAAATGGCGTCATAGTCATGGTGAAACGATGAAATCATAGTACTAAAACGATGTTATCGTTTTTATATGAAGACGTCATTTGATTTCATTTGTGAAATATTTTTTTATCGTATAGGCCTACACGATAAATCGTTATCGAATCGTGCTAGTGTGAAAACTTTTCTTATTATTATATTATCTATATGAACAATTTGCTTTTTAGCTTCGTTGAGCGTTATCGTCATAGTGTAAACAGGCCTTAAAGTCATGATACGGAGGGGAAAAAATGAAATGTTGTAGAACTGATTTTTCAAAGACAGAAAAACAGTTGTTTGACGAAAAACTGGGGAACGGTGAATGAGATACAGATTTTTGAAGAATTCAAAACTGGGTAAAAAGGGGCGTAACCGCCCAATTTTTGTTTTGAACGATTAACAATAGTGGGTGTTATCAATGTGCTTTACTTTTTTTTAGCCACTACCTACATTGCCTTCTATTCACCACATGAATCCATGGATTCACTCGTCTTCGTTTTGTATTACGCTTTTTGTTCTACCAGCAAACAAATAACGATATAGAATGAAGTTCACAACGTCACAACTTGTGAACATCCTGGTTTCACAGAAAACGTTTCTCGCGCGAATAAGCGCCCGGGCGCTTAAAATATTTTTGGCTTTTTTTAGGGGCACTTTTAACGGGGCGCTTATTAAAATAGATGAAAATTAAAGCGGTGTTTATGGAAGGGCACGTTTTTTCAATCGTTGGTGGTATTTACACAACAGCAGATGAATTAGTGGTGATGTTGACGGTAGGCGTGTTGGCCATCTGCCAAGATTAGCAGGCTCAGCGCAGGGTTTCTCGCTTAGAGAGAGTGTGAGGTCAGTTTATTTTTGTTAACTGAAACTGGCCATACAGTATTTTAATTATATTAAATACGTAGTTCTAAATCCAAAAACGGTAGCAATAAAAAGAAGAACGGGATTCTAAAGATGCATCAAAACTGAAAACCATGTTAAACTTCAGGCCGGTAGCCAGGTTCTTCCAAAGGGCGGGGGTTTCTGGGCGTGAGGTCCACGGTCGAGCGCCGGTGGGTCGGCGAAATCCCCAAAGCAAGAGGATTTTTGTGCTTTATGGGTCTACATGCAATAAATGTTTGAAAACGTCTGTGTCTGGTTGGGACTGCAGTGCATTAGTTGGGTTGGAGGACTTAACAGTATTTGGGAAATTTGAAGAGAGGGTTCGCCAGAAAAGAGGAGGGTTTGCTAGAAAAGGGGATTCTTCCGAACCATAACCCCTCCCCACCCCCATTGGATACGGGCCTGAACTTAATGGAGACATAGACCGACAGATGGACTGACCGACCGACAATGCTAAGATAGAAGGGAAGGGAAGATAGAAGGGAAAGAAGGGGGAAAAAAGAAAGAAAAGAAAATGACATATACAAAACCGTATTGTGATATTTATTTTGCTCATTCCGAAGTAACATTAAAATTATCGCCGGAAGTGTTTTATTTATAATTTATTATCATTTCACTATACTTATAAAAATCAGGATTATAATAAATTCAACAATTTATATGCTCAAATTAATTATTTTTTAAATTTAATTACAAAATTACTGTTTGATGAAGTTTTGTCATTTTCAAGGACAAACGTCTTTTACCTTTACTAACAAAATTGTTAATTCAGATCTACAAACAGCCCCTACACTTATATATATATATATATATACTGTCTCTTATACACATCTAGATGTGTATAAGAGACAGGTATTGTAAAAAGTAACCCCCAACATTTATGTGATTTACAAATGCAATATTAAACCTAATGAATATACCGTCATGGTCACTGCCTGTTATACCCGGATGAGGTAATATAGAAGCAACGATATCTGTTTGATTTATATATACATGATCAATGAGGGTGCCCTTATTACTTCTGTCACTTTGCCTTCTAGTTATAAAAGGAACAATTTGGGTAAAATTTAAAATATCTAAAATAGAAGCAAGTCTATTGTATAAGCTACATGATCTAAATTTATCAATATTAATATTATTATAGTTGTTTCTAGGTATATCCTATATGCTTATATAAAATCATATATAAATATATACAGGTATATATTTATGAACTGCGCAGGGGCATAAAAAACAATTTCAAGTGAATTTTATAAGAACACTGAGGCTGAAATTGCTTAAAAATTAAGAACAAAATAAGAACAAACTGAGGCTGAAGTAAAAAAAAAATATTTGTACCTTATGTGTGACTGTACTTACCATACCCATCATTTCGGGCCATTTTTACCAGCGCCTTTTTTCTGGGGCCTATGTCTCAGGGGCAGTTTTTTCTGGGGTCAATTTTCCTACATTCCAGTACAGTGCTGTTGTACAAAAATAATTTTCTACAGTATGTTTGAAAATTGTGTAAAGTAAGAACAAAATATGAACATTTTGAGCCTGAAATCAGCCAAAAAATAAGAACACTAGCTGAGCCTGGGCAAAATATTGCTGGTTCTTAATATAAAAAAAAAAAAAAGTGTACTGGAACCAGGCCTGCACTAAGATGCAGTTTTGAAATTAATTTGAAGTTTTACCATGACACTAAACCGCGTTGTACTGAAATAATAATGGATTACATTTCGAATCATTGTGGCGATTAAATTCTACTTTGCTTTAAATTATGTCGTGGGATCATCAGGAGTTCTTTGTTTTGATCTTACTCTATCATTGGTCGTTTGGATTTTTCCCAGGATTTACGGTACTACTTGTGATTGGATAACGTTGAACTATGACCTAGATGAGGTTTAAATGTCCTAGCAGCAGCAAGAAGGATGACAACAATACCGACAGCTGACTTTTTGAATTGAATTTAAAACTTCGTTTGTGTAGATTAATGAATTTGTTAAAGTAATTTAGTCGTTTATTGAGTGAAATTGATGTGAGTAATTGAAATTTACTGTCAAATTGAACAATTGTTACGATACTACTAGGCCTAGCCTCTTGTTCATATATTGAAAATAGCTTGGCCTAGCTAGACTAGAGGGCCTACCTATCCTAGCCAAGGTAGGCCTTTATAGTAGTACTCACAGTAGCCTAACCCTAGGCCTAGCTTAGCTCTGTAGGCTTGGTAGGCTTAGCTAGCTAGAGGCCTAGGCCTTTCAACTTTAGTGTAGCCTTGGATTACCTATCCTATTCCTAGGCTAGGCTAGAGCCATGTGCTGAGCCCTTGATATTAGTTATTTCACATGATAGTGCCATTCTTGTTTATTGATATCTGATAATTTTCCATATTTGGCATTATGTTTTGTTTATTTTTGCTAAAATTTGCTAAGGCATTCATGGATCCATTAGGACACTGAGTTGAAGTACAAATAGTAAGAATGTCACTCCAAAAATTGACACCATGGCCATTTTTTTTACTTTTCACTTACTTGTCCGTAAAACTACTACAATTGATGTGACCAATAATAAGCAGAGCTTGTAAACAAATGGTACGTTCTAAATTATTTCTTATAAATAAATATGAATAAATGGCCAGAAAGAGTAAAGTAATTTGTTAAACAATAGAGATACTATTATTTAATGGTTTGAATCTGCAGTTTAGAAGGTAAGTGATTTTTAATCTTTTCTTTAATTTGAGAGTATTTTAAGCGGTTTGTAATGTGAATAGAAGAGAGTTCATGTATAAATATTGTATTATGTCGCCATAAAGTATGGGTAGTGGGTAAATGAAAATGTAATGATTGTCTTAGTGTGATATCTATGTATTTGAACCTTTGATTGTTCTGTTAAAAAAAAAAGCAGATTTATTATACGTTTCGCCTTTTATTTAAGCATCATCATGAAACCTGATGAAGCTTAAATAGAACTATACGTAAAATAAAATTTCCTTGTCAATTTTCGGAGTGACGTTTTTACTCATGGATCATTTGGCTAAAAGTGTTATTCTAAGTTTTGCTTTACTTTAAGCATCATCATCATCATCTACTGTAGGCTAGGCTAGGCTAGGCTAGGCTAGATGCCGATGATGCTAAATATATTCAAAACATAGAGTAAAATGGCCACAGCCAATGTAGGACGCCCGCTGACACTTTATACTTTCTAATAACCTATGTATTTTTTTTTATAAAACCTATTATTCATACTTCATAGACAATTATTTGTGAATTGAACCCTGTGGTATTCCACAAACACTATTACATTTTACAGATGTGACATTATTAATAGTTAGTAATATGTGTACGATCTGATAAATAATGATACACCTAAATCTAACTTAAAATTAAACCCCTACCTGACTAGTAAACTTTACCTACCTGATTAGTTTAGCGAATCTGCTCCCCTTCCCCATTACACCTCACACTATGGTATGACGATAAAGGAAAATAAGGAAATCTACCGCCCTCTACGAAAGTATTGTCTCATGCAGAACATATACACAAACAAATGAACCATGCATGGTGCAATACTGTGTAATAACATACTTGCAAGTGTCAGTGACCGTCTTACACCAGGAGTAACGTATTTACAAATGATGGTACGTTCTTTTGTTCTATTTATACTCTTGATAAAATACAAACTGAAATTTGTATTATTATTATTAAACAATAAATTATTTTCTTGTATTTAAAGTGATTGTAATGATGGAATGTGCTGAGCTTGATTGCAGCGTCACTTTGCAGACTCTAAACATTAGTGGCGAAATCATCAAGAGAAGTACTTCAAGAAATGCGAATGTTGTCATCGGCCGAAATCAGTTTAAGGATGTCATCCTTAAAGTGACAATTAACAATAATGTCACTAAATATGACTTGTCTGATATCAAACTTCATAAGCGATTTGTAAGAGAGGGGAAAGCAACCATATCATTCCCACAGAAGAAGACACAAGTATTGCTATCCAACTGTCCCCCTCACAAACTGAATGCCCTCTTAAAGTGTATTGCTTTAAAAGTGGAGTGTGCTAAGGCAGAGAAGCCTGTATCAGCTCGAATGCGATTGCTATCTGATAAGGCGCATACCTTCCAGGAAATAAGTCCCTTAAATGAGAAAGATGTGAATACAGTAAATGCTATAAGAGCAAAAGCAGAGGAAGCTAAGGGGTCAACAACGACTCCCCAGCAGGTGAAAAGTAAAAGAGTGCAGAAACGTCCTCGGCCTGATACAGGAGAACCACAGACTGGAGTAAGAGCAAACTGACATAAAATTAGATATTAATATTAATAGTAAACATTAGATGATAAAGTGGTTGATAGCATCATATCATGGCTGTTATTGTTTCATTGTGAAGTGCACAAAAACACATTTTTCTGATTGATCCAAGATAATGTCATATCTAGGAGTCTTAAACCGCTGATGGTGGGGGGGGGAAGGAGGCTTGATGATTGAGTGAGGGGTAACTAAGCCCTCAAAAATATTTTAATATGAGGTCATTTTTTTTTACTTCAATTTTATTTCATTTATACCCAAACTGACAGAAAATGAACTTGAGCTTGATTTGTTTTTGCTTCAAACATTTTCAATTGTTGTGGGGGGGGGGGGGAATCCATTTTAGAGAGCGTATACACCCCTAGATACACCACTGAACCAAGGACAGTAAAGTAAATGTACAATAATTTTTGGATTATAATTGTGGCAGACCTGTTATGCAGTACTATATTTTGAAAATACTCACTTTCAGACAGAGTATTTATATTGTGTTCATCAGAGCAAACTAATAAATGGAATCCATCCAATTTATTTTTCTAGGGTGATGGTATGCCGAGGAAAAAACTAAATATTTCACTACCAACTGTCAAATTAAGTAAAGAACAGATGAAAGTACTACAGGCAGTGGTATCAGGACAAAACATCTTCTTCACCGGAAGTGCAGGTACTGGGAAGTCGTTCCTATTAAAGCACATTATTGGTGCCCTACCCCCAAACAGTACATTTGTCACAGCAAGCACTGGGGTTGCTGCCTGCCATATAGGAGGGACAACTCTACATCAGTTTGCAGGTCAGTAGAAAAACTGTTAAAAGTTAAAATAATATTAAATTATTATAATTATTAATGTTATTATTATTACTTTTTATTGTGGCTGCCACTGGTTTGCAGTGTGCCTGTAAAAACCTTCATAATTGTCAGGCTCAGTTTTAATATTATTTTAGATAATGTTGTAAACAGTGTAAATTTAACCATTAAGGGTGATTTACTGTCATTTAGAGCTATATTTATTTAGAGTTTGAATGTATTGTAGGAATGTTTGTAATTGCTGTCATTTACATACGTTCAGAGCTGAGAGATACGCCAAGTGATTCTAACGCCGGGCATACGTTAATCCATGGCG